ATTCGACGATGATAAAATATGATGATCACATGATCACATGATCACTATCACGTGATAACAACAAACTAATGTCTTGCTGATTTATTTATTTATTACTTAAAAATCGCTACTTTATTATCGTTATACATAGATCGTTATACATAGTATTGGTAGGATAGTAATTAAATATAAAATGGGTTTGTAACAAGGAGAAATTATAGTTTTAGGGAGACTAGTCTAGAAAATAAATAGTTAGTATATTTGCTCTTGTAGAAATATAAAAACATCCTATAAAAAGTCTTTGTAGAGACATCGTCCACAGCCCCAAAGTCTTAACTATCTATGCCTCTTTGTCTTGAATTTCTCCTAACAAAGATCTAAACCCACCTCTATAACCGAATATTTTGGTTACAATATATTGTTATATAACTATAATTGATATATATTATTAGTAATATAAATTGATATATAGCTAATAATTGATATATATTATATAAAAAAATTGATAACAAACAACTCTGCTGATAGCAATTAATGCAAATCTTCAAAAAAAATTCATAATAACTATATTGGTATCTTTAAGCAAAAATATATACTAATATGCTTATTCCAACTACTCAAAATTCTGATGTACTTAATCTTGAAATACTTTATAATATATCTTAACTAAATATATTTCAATACTGGTTTTCTTATCACTAGCTTATTATCTATCAGTCTTTTAATAACAAATCCTTCAAGACAAATTAAGACCAACTTTTAATTAATTTAAGCATTTCTCTGTTTTAATATCAAATAGTCTTTTTTCATTTAATCAACTAACAATTCAAATAATAAAATTCTTAAAACCTTTTCTTAAAGACTTTTATTCTGGTTTAATTATCTACTTACAACAACAAATAAACTAACTTTTACAGTAAAAACAATTTTAATTCTTTATTCTAAATAATAGCCTTTTAAAAACCTAAATTTATTACTAATTTCATTCTAAATCTACACTCTTATATTATTCAATCTACAGAATTCTTATTAATTTTATTCTCGAAACTCTTAAAAAACTACTGTTATAGAATGAGTTATAGTATTAGTTTTATTATTAAGTTTATTATTAGTTATTAGTAGTTATTATTAGTTATATTATTATTATTATTATATTATTATTTTGTATTATATTATTATATTATTGGATATTACTGGTTAGTTGCATGTAGCATTAGAAATTGATAGAATAGTAACTGTTTCTACCATTCTTACTGTTCTTACCATTTTTACCATTTTTATCATTTTTACCATTTCTACTATTTCTGCCATTTCTACTATTTCTTATTATTTCTATTAGTTTAGATAGTTTAAGAAAAGATATATAAATCCTGGCTTTTCTACTTTTCTGCCAGTTAGTTTGAATCATCTTTAGATAAACTCAAATAGATACAGAAACCCTCTTTGGTTATAGGATTCTTTCTTGTAATTAAAGTTTTATATACTGTAAATAAAATATATCTTTCTTTAACTATACACTTTCCACAAACTGCCCTTAGTGAAGTAACATTCCACTTCCACACTGCTATAATCTTGCAACAGAGCTCTATAGCTGTTGCTTTGTTACTTGTGCTATATTAAGAAGGCTACAGTCTACTTGTAACACTACTATTAATATTTACTATTATTCTCTTTCAACACTCAAACTATTTAAAAATATTTAACTTTTATTTTTTTATTTTTTTTACTTTATTAAAAAATGATTTCAAATTATTATTAATTTGGCTAAACTTCATTTCTTTTTTTCTAATTAATACCAAACCATTGATCATCAAAAATTCTTTTAAGGCTTAAATTTAAACTAATATATTTATATATATTCTTTTATATTAATCAAACTAAATACAAATACTCTTATATTTCAAATTTATAATATCTCTAAATTTTATATTAAAATTACTAGCAATATATTTTTACAAAAATTCTTAACAACATATTACATTCCTTCTTTCTCTCTATTTCTATTTTTAATAGAATTTAATAAGTAGTTTTAAATTTTTTTAAACATTACAAAAAATAATTTAATATCATTAATAAACAAATAGTTTATAATTATATCAAATTCTAAATAAGAACAACAATAAATAATGAATACAAAAAATTTATTTTTAAGAAATTTAACTCTCTATTATTCTATCTATTCAAAACCACACATTACACCATATATATATATGTACAAATTCAATTAAATATACAATTCTTATATTATAACTTTTGTAATTTAACTATTTATCTTTTTAAACATTTTTTTAAATCTCACCTGCTTCTAAATTTATTTATCTAATTTTAAATAATTTTATCTTTTTATCTAATCAATTTCATACTGCTACTTTTCTACTATTTTTTCCTTCAAAGATTTTTATAACTTTACTAACTAAGCAAAACAAAAATTTATCACATTTAACTAAAAACTTATTAAATTTAATAAGTTAAAACTTTTTGAACTTTTATCATTATCATTATTTGATTTTATTTGGTCAAAAACATTAAACAAACTTTTAAACTTACCTGTAACCTTGCTTATATCAGCTTGTACTAGAAGGTTGTAGAACAATAGTATAACGTATGAGTTATATAAATTCTGAGTGAAGCAGCTAAATTAATTTAAGAGATCAGAGATATAGAAGTCTGCTTGGAAAGTTCTGAGTAGAAAGGTAGCATAGATTTTTGATAGTGCTATGTAAAGGATTATCATTTGAAGAATCAGACACCAAAGGACAAAGACCAAAAGTATAGTAAGCACTATCAACTAGGTAACCAGATAACCAAAAAAAAAAAGAATTTATTTGGAATTTCAAAAAATGCTTATTGATCCCTTCCAAACCATCTGGATTGAAAGTTTAAAGCACTGATAGTTGGTATCAAAGTACTGTTGATAGTCTATAAATTGGGTACTAGAATTTGAATAAACTTTGCAAGGGCAAGAAGTAAGTGACAGTAGCAAAGGTAAAATGCTGCAAAACTTGGCTACAATCGAAACATAAATTATTAAAAATCTAGATGATATATGTGTAAGATATGAACCACTCTAGTAGATTATCACAAGGATAAAGGACCCCTTTATATACTGTAATAGTATATGTTTGCTTTAAAGTCCTAAAGAGCTTTTATAGTAATTCCTCTTTGATAAGAATATCTGTCAATAGCACTAAGTTAATCAGAGGGTTTAATTAGATAATTCAAATAATAGTGAGTTATAGGTACAGTATTTAATATAAAATCTAGTAATAGGCAGACTACTTAAATTAGACATTTAAAAGACATAGGTATAATTAGAATATACCTTTGTTAATATAACAAAGTCAGGGCAGCCTATATAGCTGTTCTGACATTCAAACTGAAGTTAATAAAATATACCAAACCTCTAAATAGTCACTTTAATATTAAAAAAAAAAAATTCAAAAACCATCTGATCTTAAAGTAGAGCTTCAAAGTTAAAATTTCTAGTTGCTATCCCAAATAGGTTAACAAGTTTTCTGCAGTATTTTATAGTTATAGTTTTTTCACAACTATAGCTTAGTCTATATACAATCTTATACTATTCATCCCAAAGTATATACAGTATACTGTATATATGTATATATGTCTTTTCTTTTTTGATAGTAATTGTTATTATCAATCTTTTGATGAAAATATATTATTTTTTTCACTTTTTGAAGAAATTTCACAAAGGCTGAGAGTGGAGTGTGAAAGAAGATTTCAGTTTGCAGGTAGCCCTAAACTTTGCAAAAAAAAGTATTAAAAACTCACTTGTTGTTCTCCTTAGACCAACTATCTTTAACTTTATCAACAGAAGCAATATTTTTATTAAAATTTTCTATACAAAAACATCACCTTCTTGCTAGTTATCTTGTATAGTAAGGCTTTTAACTTGCATACTGAATATATAGAGAAGTCTAGTGAAGACAGACAGCCTTAACTAACTTAAAAATACTAATACAGTCTAACCTCTCTACAGCACACTCTCAGTTTCAAGAAATTCTGTGTTTATAAGAAATTGTGTTTATATAGAGGTCAAATCTCTTATGTTTTATATATGTTTGTTCTAAAAATTAGTGTGCTTATAAAGAGAGTATGACTATATAAAGAGTAACTGTATGGAGGGCAGACTGTATATAGCTTGCTATATTTTTTATAAAATAATCCTAAGTAATATATATATATTAACAAATCTAATCTATAGCAAAATAAATAGCTAGTCCAGTATTTTTATTTAGTAAATAGATTATAACTTTATTTATAAAATTTTAATACAATTAATCATTCTTTGTTTAAATAACCAAGATTTTATTATATTCTAATCTAATAATTTCTATATTTGACAGGAATAGTACACAAAAATCCAGGTCAGATATAAAAGGCTCTGGTAGGTTTAGATCACAGATAAAGCAGTCCGAGTCTAGTATTCTGAGATTAGTTAATCAGTAGGTACATGAGTGAACAACAAGGTTGTATAGTAGTGTACAGACTTATAATTTAATAAAGATACATGAGGCATAACCTCACCTTAAAAAAAAAAAAAAAAAAATTCTATATACGGTAATTCTATTTTTATCACAAGTATTTAAAATTAGTTAAAGTCAATTTACACAGATTTATTTTGATACTAGTCACCATTATTTTAGAATAATATATTTGAATAGATTTTATAATATACAGTATAAGTACTAAAAAAATACTAAAGTTTTAATTATTTTTGTAGCAGTGAGTACTGGAAGATGATTTATTGGCTAGTTGAAAAAATATTTTATACTGCTAATTGAAAAAATTTTTTTATAACAATACGACAATAAAAATTATAGCCGCAGCTCAGCTCGACTAAAAACGTCTCTGCTCAAAAATAACTAAGTTCTACTATAACAAGCATTTAGACCAGATAAGAATATCCAGATTATTTCCAACGATCTTCGTTATCTAACTCAACCATTGGTCGAAATATCTGTTAAATATGATCAGATCTACTTCATGTTTGACATTAAAAAATGGCCTTTTTGTCAGGACCTGTCAAATCCAAGCTTTACATTTCTTCTTCTTCCACTGCATCTCCAAAGTCACGACCTGTGCAAATCATTGAGGACCATCCCTTTAACCATCGCCTTGAGCTTCTATTTCCAACTCTTTTGTCACCTCAGCAAGAAAACAAATTTTTAAAAGAGACTTTTTATTATAAAGCTGATATTCCTTTGTCTTACTTTATCGAACGTTCTTTTATGCAAGATTATTTACAAAGAGGTAATTAGGTATATTCATCTTTAAAGTTTTTAAGTGTTTAAGATAGTCCATTTATCTTTCCCTACTTCATAATAGGACGTGTTGTTGCCCAAAGTTTAGGTGAAGGCATTGATGTATCAAATGTTATCGCACTTGATGGATTTGGTCATTATTTTTAGTTAATCACAACTGATGACGTTGGCATTATCGCTGAAGTATATTGTAATAAAATTCAATCTTTGTTTAAATAGGGACCCTCATTCTAAATTTAACTAAAGATACTTATGAGCAGCTTGGATTACCTGGGAAACCTGCAAAGTTTGGGCCAGATAGGCAAAGATTTGGTAACATTTCATTCCTCATTCCATAAATTTCATGCCTTATTTAATATTTTACGTATACCATTCAGTCATACAGATTAATTTACTTGAAAAGTCGATGATTCCCGGAAAGAAGGGCTTCGAACGTATTAAATGGTGTTTTAATAATACATTGAGCGATCCATTTCCATTTCTTATTTCTTATGTAGATTCTGGTAATAATTCAATGATATATGTATATGTTTGCATCATTACACTTGTTTTCTGACATATTAAAAAATAGTAACGCAAGAAACACAGAAGATAACATTTCCGCCAACATTTAATGCCAAGAAACTTACAGTTGAATTGAAATTTGAGAAGTTGAATAATATCATTTTTCCAGATATGGAAGCCATAAAAACCGCATCTAATGAAGACCAATGGAGGTCTGATATTGTAGAGATTTATGATTGGTTCGGAATGGCCTCACTTCGAGCGCAAAGGTAATTATCAGAAGGCTGCACATACTGACAATTCTTAATATGATTGATCAAAATTATTGGTAAAATATAAATAATACTATCAATTGTAAAATGCTGAGATTATTTGTGGTGGTTTATGCTGAAATAGTTTGATATTGAATCTAGGGACCCAATTTAAATATATAATACCTACTAAAATCTATTTATGTTCAATTCTAGCTCTAAATCTCAACCTAAACATAAAAAAAAACACCTGAATATTATAAATTTTCATATAAAAAATAAAGCAAAATTTCAGCGTCAGCTAATTTCAGCATCAGCTACCAAATTATTTTGATTACGCATTTTATCTTAAACGATTATATGATTTCAGGATTAGATCGCAAGATAAAGTTGATCCTTATATATCTGTTTATACACCCCCCGGTCCATGCTTGAGCGGTAACGGATCACTATTATGCTGTACTGGGTTTATTCCTTCATCAATGATTTTGTTTTTATTTAAATCTATTTTGTACGTATTAATATACTTATTTTGTAATCTCATTCAATCGTTAATTAATAACTATTTTTATTTATAAATGTCATCATAGCGATCAATTTAAATCTTCAAATATTCCTTGGGTTGCTTTAAATGTTTGGGGTTTTAAAGACTCACCAATATCATGGAAAAAGCATGAACATGGCCATTTTATGAGTGGAGAAAATCATTATAGTTTTTTATTATGGCCAGATGGTGAATATATTTTATATCAAGCACTTGGGGCTTATGATGGCTATTCGTAATAAATCAATAATATATGAAATATATAATATGATATGAGATTTTACATCATCTATATAGTTGAAACCTATAGTCAGATATAATTGCAGATCAGTTAATACATACGTAAGAATGGCAAAGTTCATAGATTTATCTAGTTTTTAATAATTAGGTTTTAATTTTGGAATTTATAGTAGGTTTATAGTTGATTTAATATAAAAAATTTTTTTTATTTACTTTCTTAAAAATATACAGTAGCTAATATAGTTAGGGTTAGAGGTATTGTATATCAAATTGTATAAAAATTTTTTTGGATAGGGTTTCAAAGATGGTTTTATTGAGGATAAAATCTTGATAATAAATAAATTTACCTTTTTATATATAAAGTAAAGATATATAATTAATTAATTAATAAATAAATATATAGTATTACTAAAATTTTAATGTTTAACTACAGCCAGACCTCTCTATAGTCACCTTCTCTATAGTTACATTTGTTATAATTATATAAATTTTTAAAACCAACTTATATAGTATATATAAAATTTAATCTTTATATAAGCACAAACTCTTTATAAGCATCAAATTCTTCAAACCAAAAATGTAATTATAGAGAGGTTTGACTGTATATTATTGATTAAATTTTTAATTAATCAATTGTAACCAATTTCAGAGTTTCATTCAAGCATAATTAATTGAAATTTTTATAATTGATTAGATTTTGATTGATTATAGAATTTTGATTAATTATAAGGTTTTAATTAATTAATTATTATTAAGTTTTATAAGTTACTCTCATTATAGTGAAGTTCTTGGGCTGTGAAAAATTTTTCACTATATTGTATTAAGAGATTTACTATATTAAGAGCTTCTTAATATAGTAAACTTAATAATAAATTATATAAATCTTTACTATATTAAAAAAAATAAATTTATACTCTTAAAGTAAATAGAAACTTCAATATATAAACAGATACAATACTTGTTTAAAACTAATATTTATTTTATAAAATATTATTTATAAATTAAAATTTTATATTATAAGCTTTTTTATATCTTAACTTTATTTAACTTTAATTTTAACTAAATATCTAAGTTTATTTTTGTTTTTATTTAATTTTATCTCTTAATCTATAGGTTTTTTTATATAAATTTGTATAAAAAATTTATTATAAAGAATTTAGTAATTTACTACTATGGCAATAGTTGTTATCCTTAAAATTATATGTAATATGAAATTAAAACAATAGATAATAATATGTAAGATTAGAGTTAGAGATAGTTTTAAAAAGTAAAGTTTTTAATCTAAAATTTTATAAGAATTTTTTTTTGGTGTTAAGATGAGGTTATGCCTTATATATCTTTATTAAATCATAAGTCTTTACACTATTATACTGTTATAGCGGTACTTTTAAAAGAAGGGTTTAAGAAGAGCAAGTGAGAAAGTTTAAGCAGAAGGATTTATTTACTTGTTTTAGAGACAATAAAGACATTACAAGGTCATTAAAATGAAGAGAATATTATAGGAATATTTAAAGAACAATATTTCAAAGAGTATTTAATAGGTTCTATTTATTATTTATTTAACTATCTAGTTATCTCACTATCTATTGTCTGTTGTCTAATTGTTTGTTGGGGTAAGGGGAAAAAGCCTTCCTTTAAATAACTGTTAGGTTGGAATACAGTAGCATACAACCATGTGGGGTATACTGGCATACACTGGTATACAACCATGTATGTTGTACTAATATATACTATTATAAAACTATGTGACAAGTAGTATATACTAGCATATACTATGTGGTAGGTGGTATACATTGGCATACACTATGGGGCAGGTGGCATACACTGGTATACACCATGTAGCAGGTAGCATATACTGGCATATAGTATACAGTGGCATACAGCACACAGTGGCATACAGCACATACTGGTATATGGCACACACTGGTATATGTTTCAATATTCTAACTATTCTAAATACAATATAAATTCTAATATAATACAAATTTAACTAGAATTATATCTAAAATATAAACTATAAATTATAAAGTATTGTTCTATGAAACTATTAGTATAACATTATAAAGTTACTTTGTAACAGCTTATTCTGCCTTTAGAAATTTGCTTCGCAAATTTAATTTCTAAAATAATCTATAGTATTACATACCAGTATCCAGAAATTAATCACATGCCAAAAATTAAGTGTTCTGCATGAAATTGTGTCACTGTTTGATTTTCCTTGTGTTTCTTCCCTTTAAAAATAGCTAATGTCCCATGAGCTTATCAGTTTACCTGTTCCTTTGTGCTAAATTTCTTTATCAAGTAATTAATTTTTCTATATTATTTTAATTTATTCTATTTTATTTGATATTATTTTGTTTCTTTGTTGATGATTTCTTTGTTCTATTTTTATCTCTGCTAATTGATAATTATTTGGTGTCTGTTAATTGTTGCATCTAGTTGTTTATTAACTTCCTTTTGGAAACAATAACAATTTTTTATTATTTATTCTCTCAGTTTTTATTTTTCATTTAACTAAAATTTTGCCTCTTTCAACTCTTAGTTTTTTAGCTTCTTTTTTTTGCTTTCTTTTCCTTGTCACTACTATATTTTAATCTTTCTGTTTCTTTTGTTAATAGTTTGTCGTTTAAAAATTTTTTTTATTGAAAAACTTTTTGCTTATTCTCTAGTTAGTTGTTTGAAGATATATACACTTTTCAGATTGTGCGCTCAGTTCTATCTAATTTAGACACTTAGAGGCTTAGCTGGTTATCTACTTTGGTGTGCTGTATATATTCGGCCCAAGTAGATATTTTCACTTTATATTTTTCTCTTTTTACTTTCGATACTCGTAGTCTCTTGTACAAGTACATCAGCAAAATATATAAACGTAATCTTATGAAAGTTATAACATCCTGAAATATTCTGCAATAATTACGATTGATGCAGAATATTTTGAAATTTTTAATTATGAAATATTACGAAATATATTATGAAATATTATGAAATATATTATGAAATATTACAAAATTTGTTACAAAATATTTTGATGAAATTCAAACTAATTCGAATTTATTCAAAATATACAAAATTTGCTACTTGACTAGACAGTATTAAAAAAACTTTTATAAAATAAATAAAATAGTAAATTACATATTTGAAAAATATAAATTAGTTCGAATTTATCAAAAATATTTTATTTTATTTTTTATTTAAAATTAATTAAATATTCAAAAATATAATAAATTAAAATATATTCATATAACATATTTTTTGATTTATTTCATTTATTTAAATTTTTTCGAATTATACTGAAATTTTAAATAAATAAATACTATAAATTTTATAGCTTAAACTATATTATTTTTTTATTTAAATTTTTAAATATTATATATAAAAAAAGCCAACTAATCTTATATTAAAAGAAATATATAAAAAATTATTGTTACCCAAAGATGAAGAATCGGAAGATATAGATTTAGAATTATATTCTTCTGGATCTTTTTCACTTTCTGTAGTTTAATCTGAATCTATTTGCACTAAATCGAAAATTTTAAAATTATTTAAAATTATTTAGCAATTACAAAATGTAATAAATTATTTTGACAAAATCAGCAAATTTTAAAAACCAAAATATTATATAAAATTTACAATTAATATATAATATTGTGAAAGATTTTAAAAAATTTGAATAGATGTAAATTTTATTAAGAAAATTTGAAAACTTTCAATAAGTAACATTATTTAGCACCTTATTCCAGTCATAATGATAGTTAAATTATTAAAATTAGCCAAATATTTGCTGAGATAGCTAATCGTAATATTCTATATATTGAAAGTTTATAAATTTTTTAATAAGATTCACACCTATTCGCACTTTTTTAAAACTTACACAATATTCTTGCAAAGTGTCAGAAAATTTGCAAAGCATCAAAGATGTAAAGAATAAATAAATTAATTAAAAGTTAAAAAAAAACGAAAAAACAAAAATATAAACAAACTAATAAAAATAAATGAAACCTCAAATCTTCATTTCTCTAAAATAAGAGTTTACATTCTTGTAAATTCAAAAATTGTGAAAGCTGAATTAATGTTCTTGCAAAATGTCAAAAAAGTCGCTAAGTACTGAAAAAGTCTGAATTAGTTTATTTAAAAGTATCAGTAAGTAAAGGTTCTGTTCTTACAAAGTACTAAAATAAAATAAATTAATAAAAAAATTTTAAAAATAAAACAAAAAAAACAAAAACAAAAATCATGAA